TAGAAAATGCTCGTCATTTAATTTCAGAAGTTTATTGCAGAGTTCATCAAAGAATAAATTTGGATGAATTATCAAAATCTTTGAACTTGACTAGAGAAGAAGGTGAAAAATGGATTGCTAGTTTGATCAAAGAAACTAGAATGGATGCCAAAATTGATGAAAGTGAAGGTACTGTGATTATGAATCATCCAAGTACTAGTGTTTATCAACAAGTTATTGAAAAGACAAAAGGTTTATCATTCAAAGCTAATCAAATCTTAGCAACTGCTTTACAAAAACAAGATAGCGTTCAATAAACTGGTGGGGAGTAATACAATTTGTGTAAATTAAATAAAATAGTTTTTCGAGAATACAATTACGTAGCTTTCAAAAAAAAATCATAAACATTTATATATACATAACACCCATTTTTATTTACAAATACCCACATTCTATCAATTATTGCAAAAACGTGTCTATTCTTTAGTTGGACGAGGCATGACTTTGAAACCTTTGACTAATTTGTATCCAGTATAAGGTTTTCTCATATTTTCAGCTGGAGGAGGTAAATTCTTCAAATCTTCAGATTTACCATCTCTATAAAATTCTTTCTTACATCTTTCCACTAATGCATCAAATTCTTCTTGACCACCGGCTCTAAATTGTATTAATTTATTGACATTATGTTGAGTTAAATCATCGACTGGTAAATTTTGTAATTGTAATCTTGCAACAACTCTAGCAGTCATCCATAATTTCATTTCTTTTGGACCATCAACTAACTCCACAATGGATTGTTCAGCACGATCACCTAAACGAGGTTCTAAACGTAGCACTCTTGTGAACCCACCTTCTCTTTTAGCAAAACGAGTACGTAAATCTTGAAATAATTTTGGGATTGTAGTCTTGAGTTTGAATAGATCTTCTCCAGCATCAACTTTTGCTTGGGTTATGTTATCTTTCTTGGTTAGCGATATTAATTTATCTGCTAACTTTTGAGTTTCTTTGGCTTTAGCATGAGTTGTAATGATTGATTCATGTTCAATTAATGAAGTAACCAAGTTTCTCATCATAGCTCTTCTATGAGAACCAGTTCTATAGAAAAATGTTAGTGATTATCCGGTTTGATTCCTCCTGAATCTAGTACATACCTTGAAAAATGTCTAACAGGCATCTTTTAATAATCTATCCCTTTAATATTTGATAACTAGGCCACTTCCAAATACTCACCAATTGTTGATTTCCATTTTGACTTTTTCCAACCTTTTGAAAAAAATCGGCACACCCGAACACCATTTCGCGAATTTATACTTCCAAAATCTTCAAATATTCTACAAAGAAACCTTCTCCAGCTATATAATTATACTAGAAAAGAGTTGGTAATTCATCTTTAGAATCAGGTTAAACCTTTGAAGCACTGGCCGAGTCTAAGTCATCCGACTTTAGTTTTAAGACAAGAGCATAGAGAATCGACGTTCAGTTCAAGACATCAATGATAATTCAAAAAAATGATATTGAGTAACAGAAGATTTTCAATGTCCTCCGCATTTGCACTTATCGTGCTAGCTTGTCCCTTTTTTGGTTTCAACGTGATTGATTGGGTGGTGACAAAGATCAATTTTAGCACAACTCAGAGTACAATTGCAGCTGTCACCATATTTGCATATGAGGTTGTGGGAATTATTAGGCTATGGCTAATGTTCAATGAATTTGATGATAAGGGAAAACGGTTGATATCAAATTTTGAGTGCGCTTTTGAGATTCATAATATATTAGTGCGTTGGTGTATGGAACTGGTGGCATTAAGCTCACTGTATCGTTCTTTATCAGAATCCAAAGGTAAGGAATCATACAATTTGATTTCGTGAGCTCAAAGAGAAAGTTGTGTTAATGCATTCGACTACCTGAAAACAGTGACATTGTCCTTGGAATGTTATATGATACATCTTTATTTCTAGTGGCGCATCATACAAAATATATAATTAAGCAAATACATCATACTATAATTACTACAAAACTTGAAAACCAGTCTTCGCCTAATTCGGCAATAGACTTACAAATTCGAAAACGACATTTTGCAAGAAACAGTCCACAATGGGAGATTTTCTTTTTTGCGCGAAAACAGGTCCAAGAGTCGATTTTGAATTTTTCTCGAATCAAAAACAAGTTTTTAAAAGATTAAGGACATTGAAATAATAGGTTTATCTGTTTTTGGATATTTGAATTGAGTAGGAATGGGTAACAGAATACATGGTTTCTTAGCAGGTGAGTATAGATCTATGCAGGGCCTTTGGTCTTTTGCATTTTGGGTTAGTTCGATAACTAATATCTGTTTTTAGGTGTGCTATTGACAACATCAGTTGCATACTATACATCACAAGAATTCAAAAGAAGTCAAGAGTTTGTTTCAAAGACCTTGAGAGATACAGAATCCATCATACAGAACCATGGTAAAGAACCTCAACCAGTTCCAAGAAGTGTGGAATTTCAATACAGACCAAGCATAAAACAAACAGTTGCAGATCTATGGAATGAACAAATATTAAGCACTGTGAGATCAATTTACTCATTTGATGTTGAAAGATTCACTTCTTCAATTACAAAGTCTGTTCAAGATGGTGTTAACAATATTTCAAAATAGAGAAAGGAAAAGCATATATGTAATGAAAAAAGAAAAAACTAATGAGGGTTTAGATACAATAAACATTTTATTTATGGCAACTTCATATTCAGATTTGTTTTGTACTTTTTTGCTTCTTGAAATAATTTTTAATATCTCTATCAATAAACCATGAAATGATTGGGGCAATCAATGCTATTATGAAACCTAATATGGCTTGTGATGGTCCAAATATTCTTGGACTTAAACCCAACGATATTGTTGTTAAAACCCATCCAATGAAATCTGTTGTTATGGTTTCAAATCCTCTATCCAAATAATCAATTATAATGTTTGCACATTTCTCACAAGAGATTGGATATGATGAACCTTCAATAATTTTTGTAATTTCAGGTTTTGTTTTATTTTCTTCAACATAACCTTCACTATCAAAATTACCAGGGAAAACGCTTGAAACTTTGATGTTGTATTGTAATGTTTCTTGTCTTAATACATCTGCTAATGCTCTAACTGCAGCTTTTAATGGTGCGTATTGACCATATCCAATGAATGGGAAAAATGCCACAACAGATGAAAAGAATATCAAATGTCTTGAGTCTGCAGAGTTAACTAATGACATTTTCTTTAGTGCAGCATGTGCAAAGTTTACAGCAGTGTTATAATTTGTAGAGATACCACTCTCCAATTCTCTTGGATTTAGATCAAGGAACAGTTTAGGAGTTGATGAACCAGCACAACACACAACAATATCTGGAGATCTATCCAATTGATCAAACACTTTTTCAGATTCCTCGTATTTGGAGATATCAGCAGCAATATATGACACGGTTTGAACATCATTCACTCTGAATTTTGAGATTTCATCCACCACGGTTTTCAATTTAGATTCTGTTCTAGAGACAATCACAACACTTGCACCTTTTAAGAACACCTGTCTTGCGAATTCAGCACCAACACCCTGCGATCCCCCAGAAACCACCACAAGCTTACCCTCCACTTTGAAATGACCTTTACCAAACCACATTTTCTTCAATTGATGGAAACAAAATATGTAAATTACAATCTAAAAAATTCCCGTACTTATAAAAAACGGGTCTGGCTGACATAATCACCATACAAAAAAGCGAATCGAATTAAAGTGGCAATTCAAACTTTGAACAACTTGACAACAATTCGAATCACCAACGCAAAAAGATGAGCTCCATTGAATTCGATGGGCAGCCAATAGCCAAAGACGACTGCTTCTACTGCTTCAGAACAGCCTTTGACAGCGAAGGATTGAACATCAGCACAAGGCACCACAAGGCCTTTTGCAAAGAGCATCTTGCTCTACACTACAGCCTTTTCAAAGATGACACAATCTACTTGAACTACACCAAAGTGGCGAAACCGCAAAGGGAGAAGACTACCAAAATGATTAAATTGGAGATCAAGCAAGAGAGTGAGAGTGATTTGTATGACATCAAGACTCAATTGTTCCAATATGATGGTGATTCCTTAGATCTCATCACAGATATCAACCAAGAAACACAGGCCACCATTGACCGTATAATAAACTCCGATTCTGTCAATAGAAAGGAAGAACTCAAAACATGGCAACAAGAGATCTTGCCCTGTGAGCATACTATTGAATTCCAACAGACTCCTATCAAAGATGTCCAATTGACCCAATGTGGTGAATGTGAATTGAAGGAAAATTTATGGATTTGTTTAACTTGTGGGAAATTAGGTTGTGGACGTGCACAATTTGGTGGTGTTGCTGGTAATACTCATGCTTTACAACATTTCGAAACTTCTACACATCCAATTGCTGTTAAATTGGGGAGTTTATCCAAAGATGTTACAGACGTTTATTGTTATGCTTGTAATGATGAAATTAAATTTCCTGAATTATCAAATCGTTTAAAGACTTTTGGTATTGATTTAGATAATTTCACAAAAACTGAAAAATCATTAGTTGAATTACAGATTGAACAAAATTTAAAATGGGATTTCAATATGGAGGGTGATAATGGTGAGAAATTACCAAGTGTTTTCGGTCCTTCGTTAACTGGGTTGAAGAATTTAGGTAATTCATGTTATCTTTCATCTGTTGTACAATCTTTATTTTCACTACCAGAATATTCCAAATTTAAAAAGGCATTATCCAGTTTCCAAGATGAAAATGATGGATTAGAATTTCAATTAGTTAAATTAGCTAATGGGTTATTATCTGGTGATTTTTCAAAACCTAATTCTGAAGGTTATCAAGTTGGTATTTCACCAATTTCTTTCAAAAGATTAGTTGGACAAGATCATGAAGAATTTAGTTCAATGAGACAACAAGATGCTTTTGAATTCTGGAATTATTTATTAGATAAAATTGATACTATTGATGCAAATTTAAATGATATTTTCAGATTTGTTACATTGGAAAAATTTAAATTCCCAAATGGTAATAATGAAGTTAAATTGAAGTCACAAGTTAATGAAAATTTAACATTACAAGTTGAAACTGAATTAGATCATATAGAAGATGGTAAAATAATTTATAAACGTCAAGATTTTATAGATTCATTGATTCAATATTTGTCAACTGAAGAAATTGAATGGAATGTTAAAGGTGAAAATACAAAAGTTGATAAAAACGTTTTCTTCAAAACTTTCCCAAAATATTTAGTCACAAGTGTTCAAAGAATTCAATTGGAAAATTGGGTCCCAATAAAGACAGATGTCCCTTTAACTTTACCTGAATCATTTGATATAAAAGATTTCCAAAATCCTCAAGTCTTGGAAGAGGGAGAAGTTGAAGTCCATGATGAAGATGAAGATGATAATTCATTCAAACCAAACATTGAAGCGTTAAACAATTTACAACAAATGGGATTCCCAGAAGGTAGAGCGACTAAAGCATTATATTTAACAGGGAATTCTGATACTGAAGCTGCAATGAATTGGTTGTTTCAACATTTAGAAGACCCAACAATAGATGATCCAATTGATTTTAAAACATCATCTAAAGATGAAATTCAAGTTGATGAATCACAAATATCTTCATTACAAGACATGGGATTCTCTGCAGCATTAGCTAAAAAGGCATTATATTTGAATAATAATGATGTTAATGCATCTGTTGAATGGTTATTTTCACATCCTGATGATGATGGTGTTATTGAAGTTGATAAATCTGTTAAAACTGAATCACCAACTGAGAAATTGGAAAGGTTGACTAAAGAAGGTGTTGATGATAAGAGTGAATATAGTTTAAAAGCTGTTATCTGTCATAAGGGAACTCAAGTGACTTCTGGACATTACGTGGTATTTATCAAGAAACAAGACAGATGGGTTTTGTTCAATGATGAGAAAGTTGTTGATGTCACTGGTGACTCTAATAGTTGGACAGAGATTGAAAAGAATGGGTATGTTTATATATGGGAGAGAGTGTGAATATATTTTGCATTAAGTACATTGTTTAAAGTCCGGGGAGTACATGTGAACTGAAAACAAGTAGATTTTCAACCAGAAAAAAGGCAACATGCTCATAAAAACAAGCTAATTAACGTCATTGAAACTAAAATGGAATTAATCATCTATTATCCTCTTCTTTGTATAATCTCAAACTAAATTTTAAGCCTATCAAAATCAGTTTTTTACAAACAATTTTTTTGTCCAGAGCAACACGTTTTTCCGATATGAGTCAAACTTTTTTCCACAAATACGGCATTATCGAGAAATTCGATTATTGCACTTTTGACATGTTGTTGGAAAAAAAATGAATGATTCATAAGAACTGGATACAGCTTTATTTATAACTTGGTGTTTGCCATTACTATTTATTCCTTTTATTTATTCAAAGCTATAAAGCAACCGTATCATGTCCCAATCAAACAATACCCATCAGATGTTCATCCAAAATCAACATATTGGAGATCGTACAAGATTAGAAGACTGGAGAATCACAGGTTATGATCCATTAACTCCACCAGATTTATTACAACATGAATTCCCATTAGATGAAGTTAACAAAAAGGTTATTTTGGAAGGTCGTGATGATGCTATCAAGATTTTAAATGGACAAGATGATCGTTTAATCATTGTTGTGGGACCATGTTCAATTCATGATCCAAAAGCTGCCTTGGAATATCAAGCAAAATTGAAAAAAATCGTGGATCAAGTTAAAGGTGAATTATTAATCATCATGAGAGCATATTTAGAAAAACCAAGAACTACAGTTGGTTGGAAAGGGTTAATTAATGATCCAGATATTGATAATTCATTTCAAATTAATAAAGGTTTAAGAATTGCAAGAGAATTATTTGTTAATTTGACTAAAACATTACCAATCGCTGGTGAAATGTTGGATACTATTTCTCCTCAATTCTTGTCAGATTTATTCTCCTTAGGTGCCATTGGTGCAAGAACTACTGAATCTCAACTACATAGAGAATTAGCATCAGGTTTATCATTCCCAGTGGGGTTTAAAAATGGTACTGATGGTTCGTTAACCGTTGCTATTGATGCAATGAGATCTGCTGCACATAGTCATCATTTCCTTTCAGTGACCAAGCCTGGTATTGTGGCAATTGTTGGTACTGAAGGTAATCAAGATACTTTTGTTATATTAAGAGGTGGTAAATCAGGTACAAATTTTGATGAAGAAAGTGTTAAAAAAGCTCAAAGTGATTTAATTGCTCAAGGTATTACATCAAAACCAAGAATAATGGTTGATTGTTCTCATGGTAATTCAAATAAAGATCATAGAAATCAACCAAAAGTTGCACATGAAGTTGCTGAACAAGTTAAAAAAGGTTCTGAATCTATTTGTGGATTAATGATTGAAAGTAATTTGGTTGAAGGTAGACAAGATGTTCCAGCTAGTGGTAAGCAAGATTTGATTTATGGGTGTAGTATTACTGATGCTTGTATTGATGTTGATAGTACAGAAGCTGTTTTGAAAGAATTGGCAGAAGCTGTCAAGGCAAGAAGAGCATTGAAGAAGTAAGTACAATTTGGTTTAGTACATAGCAAATTATTAAAAAAATAAATACACAACTGTTCATAGTTTTTTAAAAAAAATCAATGCAATTAGTAAAATAAAATCATAGCAAATGTCATTAGTATTGATGGATGGGTCCGATTATTAATTTTCTTCATATTTCTTCAATTTCTCTTTTAATTTAGCATTTTCCATTTTTAATAAATTCAATTCAATATCAACTTGTTTACTTTTACCAAAACTTAATTGTTTCAACATTTCTTCATTTGCTTGTTTTAATAAATCTAATTTTAAAATAATCTTGTGAGAAATTTCCAATTCATCATATCTTCCATTATTAGTTATTGAATTTGTTGGATTTAAAGTGATTGAAGTGATTAAAGATTCTAATCTTTTTTTTGTATCATTTAATTCATTTTCTAAAATTGTATAATTATTTGTTAATTTATTAAAAATTTCATTAATATTTTTAGGAATTTGTTGATTATTTGATAATAATGAATTATTATTCTTGGAATCAATTAAATTCATTGATTCAGATAATCTTTGAATTTCATTTTCTAATGATTCTATTTGACTTTCTTTAATTTTCAAATCAATTTTTAAACGTTCTTCTTTTTCATTATTATTTGAAGGATAATCAAAATTGTTATTGTTGTTATTTGCTGGGATTTGATTGAAATGACGATCGTTATTAAAAGATCTTTGTTGGTTTGAATATTGTGGTGGGATTGTAGATGTTGATGAATTAGCAGTATTGTTATTATTGTTATTTGCAGATGTTATTGGAGTGAACGTGGAAGATGAAGTTGTGTTTGCAGTATTTGGCTTTCTCCAAAATTGATTAGATATGCCATTGTTATTATTGTTCCCGTTATTACTTGATTGTGAATGGTGTTGATTCATGAAATAACTTGAAACGTTTGATGAAGATGATGGCGC